AGACGCTTGAAGATACTGGAAACGATTTCTAAGTATTAGCCATATATTCATGCCTAACCGTGTCAATCCTTCCAGTATTTCCAATCTCTGGATTTGTCTAGAAATAGTCATTACAGAAAAATACTTCAATCATGCTAAATGATCACATGGAAGTTAACTTGTGTGCTAACCATTTGCCTCCCAACAGATCTATTGAAGAATAGTATTTGTGGCCAAACCATTTTCCTCCCAACAGTCCTTGAATGGTCAACAAACTGTGTCCAACTTTATAGGTACATTAAGTTGATTAAATATTTAAAACAATTAAAATCAATATAAAATATTAAAACTTAAAGAATATTTAGTGGTATATCAGGTTGATTAGAGTTGTAGATTTTTTCTAATGTAGTTTGCAAATAAGTTTATAAAAAATTAAAATTAAAAAATTAACAGAAAATATATGCAAAATGAATAAATATCTCAATAGTAGGAGTTTTTAAAAAAATTTAGTCAATCAAAGATATCTTATTTCTGTTATTTAAATTATAATATTATAATTTGAAAAAACAAATTTGTATTAATAAAATATTTTCCTTACTTTTAAAATATATATTATGTTGTTTATTCTGATTTAAACATAGGATTTATTTAATATCCATATTTTATTTGTGAACTTTTATTTTATGAAATAAAATTATAAATAAAATATGTTTTTGTATTCATATTTAAAATATATATTTTCATAAAAAATGTTTTTTTTCCTTTTGAAATATATTTTTTCGTTTTTATTTTTTGAATAGTTGTTTTTATTATAAATGTTATTTGTAAATTATAAAGAAAACGAAAATAAAACTTTTATCTGATAGAAATTATTAATTGTTTTGTTAAAAAATGGCAATTAGTTATAATATTATTTTACTAAGTGTGTCTATGTAGTTAATCTTATGAGTCTAACACTTATGAAGCTGACTTTTCAAATAGTATTATAGATATTCATTAAAATGTTATGCGAATTTTTCTGTTTGATAGACATTGTATAAACTTTTACTTTCAGACATGATTTCATGATTTTAACGTTTTATATAATACTATAGAACGACAAATCCTAGCCATTTGAGAGTAACTTTTCATATTTATGAAGATACACGTTTTGAATACATAAAAACCTGAAACCTCCATTTTCTTCTATAACTTTTCACTTGTTCTTTGTTCAGGACTGCCAAAGAGATTTCTGGGGTGATTTTTGAGAGTGTAACACTTTTGATCATTATTGTAGACTTTTGGAAGGAGATTTCTTCATATACAACATTGGAGAAGCTTTTCTTATCTTTCACTTCCAATACAATTCCATGATGTTTTCTCTAATTGAATTATGTTTGTTCATTGATCATGAGTGACTAGTCTCTTAGTTGGGTTAAGGAATTCTCATTAAGGCGATTTCTCGAAGTATTGATCTATAAACTCTTAGATTGGGGATTTATGATTTTGGATCTTTGTCTACTGATATTTTAAGGCTGAGACTTTTTAATCACTTAGCCTCTGTTTCTATAATTTTCACCGCACTGAGAATGCTTGATTGAATTCCTGAAAATATCAGTAGATGAGCAAGGCTTTTGTAACCAACGGAAGTTGATGTATTTATGCCTTGTGAACTGATCAAACATGAATCTAAAACTTGTTTAAAATCTGAGATATAGTGGAAGATAGGATTTAGAATTTTGAGCACAGGGTGTTAGCGCTATGGAAGTAGATTAATCCTAATATTATGATTTGAGTTTGAGACGTCGCTGTAGTTTACTTCTCTGTCTACCTGATGTATGATCCTTGCTGAAAAAATATCCTAAGAATTCTCATTGTGCAATGTTTGTTTTAATTGTTTACAAGCTCGGTTTATTTGCCTCTTGTTCCATTGTTCTTGTTTTACTAAACTAAGAGACTGAAAACCAAATAAACAATCTCTTTTATATATCGTTTTAACTAGTATCTTTTTATGCTCTACGTGTGGTCATCGGTCCTTGTGAATTTGATCTCACATTAATACTATGTACTTCATTTTGCATTTGCAGTTAGATAATCGAGTTAAAACCTGACCTATCATGTATCCCTTTTTTAATTTAATTATGTCTTCATATCAAGATTTCAGAATTTCATCATTCAGTTTACAGTTTCACAAAGTTTGATATTAGATCATGATCTTTTACTTTTGACTTATAATTCTCATAAAGTGTAAGAGTTTTATATATGTGTTACTGTAAGAAGTAAATGCTTTATTATTGAAAATATATGATAGAAAACTTGTTGTTCTCTCAAAAAAATATAACATAAAGAAGATAAATATAAATATATATATATATATATATATATATATATATATATATATATATATATATATATAAGAAAGACGGAAAAGAAGATATATAGATAGAAGATATCACTTTAGATTGTACAAGAAATATTATGAACAACAAAATTATATTCATAGTTCATTAGTCCCATCCTTGCATGAGCATCTGAATGTCATCCATGGATTCACAAATATTTGTAAAGTAATCCTCCCATGAAAATGTTGTAGCTGGCTCGGGAACATCGCATGATGTTGTGGACATACTAGCCAATGGTTTTGTGGTCTGTGCTGTAACATCCAAACTCGAATCCATCTCTCCATCAGAAGTATTCTCATAATTATCATCTTTTGTGTAGTCTGTTTTTTTGGTGATGGGAAATTCATTGTTGTTTGTGACATCTCTCACATAATTTGCAAGGATGACATTTTGAGGCATGTTTGCATTTTTATCATTTTGCTTCATTCTCATTAAGTGCATCCGACGTTTTGTGGCGTTCCAACGGTTTTTAATAGCATTTGCAGTTCTTCCACAGAGTTTTACGGAAATTTTGGTCCATTGGTTTCCGAAAACCTTGTGGGCTTCAACTAATATTTGATCTTCTTTTTCAGTCCATGCGTTTTTCTGAAATCACATTAATAATTAATATATATTTATATATGTAACTGATTGCATTAAATACATATAATAATTTATTTTATTGTTCTATGTATATTCATAAGAGTTTTATCAACAAAAAGTAGCATAAAGTTAATAAACATATATAAATAGAACTCAGTTATTCTTTGAAAATATTTTTTTCTTAAAGAATATAGGAAATCTGCACGTTTTATCAACTTTGAGAACATATTTTTACAATATATGTTTACTTCAGTCCAATTTTTTTATGTGAAAACTACAAGCCTAATTTAAAAGATTTAGAATATGTATATATATATATTATAATTATGTAAGTACTAACTTATAAAGTAAAAATTACATATATCATGGTTATGCAATATGGATATATATATAAGTTGCGAGTGGTGACTTTTTTTATTTTCTTCAAAATAGCATTGGGATATATCTTATTAAGAATCACCTTGATGCCATGACGAAGATGGTTGTGCCACCTCTCTCTACATTGTTTTCCGCTTCGTGTTCCGAGCATATTTGCGATACGTTTCCAGCTTTTTGTCCCATAGCGCTCCACTAAATTTCTCAAATTTCTACATTTTACATGTTCATGAAAGACGCATTGAGATCCTCAACAATAACAAAAAAATTCACAGAACAAATATTATATATATATATATATATATATAATTATTTCTAGTTTTAATATAAAATCAAAAATTAAGATTGACAAAAATAATAAAATATAAAAACTTACATATCTTCATTCTGATCCCAACCCCTTGTGATAAAGCTGTTTTCTGTCGAAGTTTTGCTTTTCTCCACCACTTTCTTATTTTTCTCGAAATCGATATCTGTCAATGAATATCTTGGTTGTATTTCTGTTATGAGAGAGCTAAAAGCCGGAAAAGTTTGAGTACAAACAAGACTTCGACTAAAAGGGTCGTAATTTTGGTTTGGCACCACCGACATCAAGCTCTGGTGATTAGGATCAAAATTACTTGTCATAATCGATGAATTATACCAACCAATCTCGTAAGATTGACTTAAAATATCACTGAAACAATGAATAGGATCTTTTTGTAGATAAGCTAAATCATCATCAGTAAGAGTGTTTTCAGTTTCGTTTCTGGTGAAATTTTGGTTGAAGCTATTCAACGGGTAATCCATTTTAACACCAACTCAGACGATGATTACTATGTGCTCTTTTTAATGAGAAATATTATGAATATGAAATTGAGATGTTTTGAAGTTTGGAACTGGAAAAAGAAAGATATCAAATACGACGAGTGGATCAAATTTATAACTATGGGAACTTAGAGAACTATTTTGAGAACTGCAGTTCTTCTAAAGATAAATATCATTATATATAGTTATCAATTCTGTTATAATAACAACTTGATTCATTAATTGAGAAATTTTTGGTCAAGTTACTATTAATTTTAATTATTGCATTCATTGACCGTATATCTTAAATTGTCCTAATGCCACATATATTTAAGTCAAAAGTCAAAAATACCCTTCTACGTCCATGTATATACTTATAATGCCATGTATATTTAGGCCAATTGTCAAAATTACCATTTGAAGTTAGTTGACTCATTTTTGGATAACACCGTATAAATCTATAATATAAATCACCTCTAGTTTATTATCATCTCTTTTTGTGTGTATATATATATATATATATATTTAATGTCACATCTTTTTTTGTTTCCTATGTATTATCATTCTAATTTTAATAAAAAAATACTTGAGATTTTGATAAGTGGTTTTGTGTGAACAAATTTGTAAAGCCCATACCCCCACGGTTAATAGGCCTCCCACGTCCGCTCTCTCGGAACGTGGGCCCCATTCTGTGCAATAGAAAATACGTTAATTTTTCCAAGGTTCGAAAGTCATGTTTAGTGATTCTGCAATCATCACATAACCTTTCTATGTGCTTTAGTCTTACTCGCACAATATTGCGAATCACTTCTCGATGGTCATCCATCCTCTCCAGCTCAAAGAAGCTTAATTTTGGAATTCTAACGGATGTGTATACGAAGTGCACTTTGGTGATATAGTAATCAAATCAATTTTTAAATCCTTTTCACATATACCACAAATTGGGATGTTACAAAATTGTTCTACATAAATAAAATTATGGTGAAATGCTATTTACCTTGTTATTTTATGTAGAAAACATATAGTTACAAAAAGAAAAGTAAAGAGATATTTTTTATGGAAAGCATATGTTTTCCACAATTCAAGATAGAAAACATATCTTATCCTTCACTTTCAATACAATTTCATGATGTTTTCTCTAAATGCATTATGTTTGTTCATTGATCATGAGTGAGTACGTAATCTCTTAGTTGGGTTAAGATTCTCATTAGGTGATTTCTCGAAATATTGATTTATATACAGTTAGATTGGGGATTCATGATTTTGGACCTTTGACTACTGATTTTTTTTTTTAATTTCTGAGACTTGCTTGATGACCTTGACTACGATTCTAGGATTTCACCGCACCGAGAATGCTTGATTGAATTCCTAAAAATAGCAGTAGATGAGAAAGGCTTCTGTAACCAACAGAAGTTGGTGTTATTGTGCCTTGTGAAATGATCAAACCTCAACCTAAAGCTTGTTTAAAATCTGAGATACAGTTAAAGGTATTATTTAGAATTTTGAGCATAGAGTGTTAGCGTTATGGAAGTATGTTAATCCTAATATTATGATTGAGTCTGAGAAGTCTCTGTAATTTTTTCTTTGTCTACCTGTTGTATGATTCTTGCTTAAAAAAGATCCTTAAGAATTCTCATTGTGCAAAGCTTGTTTTAATTGTTTAGAAGCTCGCTTTAATTGCCTCTTGTTCCATTGCTCTTGCTTTAATGAATTAAGAAACTGAAAACCAAACAAAAAAATATCTTTTATTGTTTTAACCAATAACTTTTTTATGTTCTATGTGTGGTTATCGGTCCTTGTGATCTCGTATCAATACTGCGTTGTGCATTTGCAGCTAGATAATTGGGTTAAAACATGACCTATCATGCATCAAATTTTTAATTTAATTTCATCTTCTTATCATGATTTTAAAATTTCATCATTCTGTTTACAGTTTCACAAAGTTTGATATTAGATCATGATCTCTACTTTTGACTTATAATTCTCATATAGTGTAAAAGTTGTATATGCGTATTATTGTAAGAAGTAAATGCTTGATTATTGAAACTTTATGATAGAAAACTTGGTGATACATCAAGAAATATAATATAATAGAACATAAATAGATAGATAAAAACAGATGAAAAAAGAAGATATATAGATTGAAGATATCACTTTAGATTGTACAATAAATATTATGAACAGCGAAATTATGTTCATAGTTAGTTAGTTCCATCCTTGCATGAGAATCTGAATTTCATCCATGGATTCACAAATATTTGTATAGTAATCATTCCATGAAAAAAGTTGTAGCTGGCTCTGGAACATCACATGATGTTGTGGACATACTAGCCAATGATTTTGTGGTTTGTGCTGTAACATCGTGACTCAAATCCATCTCTCCGTCAAAAGCATTCTCATAATTATCATCTTTTGTGTAGTCTATTTCTTTGGTGTTAGGAGATTCATTGTTGTTTGTGACATGTTTTATATAACTTGCAAGGATGACAGTTTGGGGCAGGTTTGCATTTTTATCATTTTGTTTCGTTCTCATCAAGTGCATCCGACATATTGTAGCACTCCAGCGATTCTTAAAAGAATTTTTAGTCCTTCCACAGAGTTGTAAGGAAATGTTGGTCCATTTGTTGCCTAAAACCTTATTGGCTTCAACCAATATTTGATCGTCTTTTTCAGTCCATGCGTTTTTCTGAAATCAAATTAATAATAAATTTATACATATATTATTAACTGATTGCATTAAAAATATATAATAATCATTGTATTTGTGTATGTGTATTCCTATAAGTTTTATCAACAAAAGTAACATAAAATTTTTAAATTGCATATTTGAGCTACTTATATGCATATAGAAATATAAATCACTGGTATTTTGGAAAAATATATATATATATATTTTTTTAAAAAAAATAGGAATTCTACACCTTTTATAAACTTTGACAAATTATTTTTATAAAATATTTTTACTTCAGTCATACAATTTTTATTATAAAATTACCACCTAAATTAAAAAGTTACAATATATATTGATATATATATATATATAAATATATTATAAGTATGTAAGTACTAACTTATAAATTTAAATTAACATATTTCATGATTATGCAATATGGATATATCTACACATATAAGTTGCGACTTGTGACTGAATTTATTTTCATCAAAAGAAGAATTAATGCAATATCTAAAAATATAAATCACTTGATGTCATGACGAATATGGTTGTGTCACCTCTCTCTACATTGTTTTCCTATTCGTGTTCTGAGCATATCTGCGATCTGTTTCCAGATTTTTGTCCCATAAACTCCACTAATCTTCTTAAATTTCTATGTTTTACGTATTCAAGACATGTATAATATGGCATCCTTAAAAACAACAAAAGATTCATAGGAAAAATAATAATAAATTTGTAAGATTTTAGAAAGTGGAGTCAAAAATTATTTTTAGTTTTATTATAAATTTTAAAAATATGATTGACAAAAAGAATGAAATATAAAGCCTTACATATCTTCACTCTGATCCCAACCCTCTGTATTTTTTAAGATTCTTTTTGTTAAAGGTTTTTTTTCTTCACCACTTTCTTATTCTTCTCTACATCGATATCTCTAAATAGTTATCTTGGTGATACATTTATGAGAGAGTTACAATCGGGAGAATTTGACTACAAACAAAACTTCGACCAAAATGATCGTAATTTTGGTGTGACATCACCGGCATCAGGCTTTGGTGATTATGATCATAATCACTTGTCATAATCGATGAATTAGACCAACCATTTTCTAAATATTGACCTAAAATATCATTGATAGTTTGTTCTTTTTGTCAATATGCTAAATCATCATCAGTAAGAGAATTTTCATTTTCGTTTCTTGTGAATTTTTTGTTGAAGATATTCAAGGAGTAATCCATTTCAACACCAACTCAGAAGATGATTACTATGTGTTTTTTTTTCATTGAAAAACTAAAAGTATGAAATTGAGTTTTCTTGAATTTTGAACTGGAGAAAGAAATATATCAAATACTATATTGATAACAATTTAGAGAACTATATTGATAACTATGGTTCTTCTATTGGTAAAGAGAAATATATATATAGTTAGAAATTTAGTTAATAATGACAACTTGATTCATTAATTAAGAAACTTTTGGTGAATAACTATTAAAGATAATTATTGCATTTAATGACTCTATTACTTATATTTTTATAATGCCACATATATTCAATTCAGAAGTCAAAAATACCCTTTTGAGTCGGTATATATACGTATAATTCCATGTCTATTTAAGTCAAATGTCAAAATTACCATTCTAAGTTAGTTGATTCTTTTTTCTGGACAGCACCATACATATCTATAATATAAATTTGATTTCGACCAGTACTTAAAAGCGCATTAATAATTTTTCATGAAATTTAATTTACGAATTTATTATATTTAAATTTGTTTAATAAGTAATGTTTAAATTTTTCAACTTTGGTATATTTAAAAACTATATAATTATATTATTTTTATTTAAACTAAATATGAATATTATGTAAGATATTGATTAACTTTGTTTTAAAATTATTTACCATGTTTGTTACAAATATTTAATAAAATCTCTGTAACTGGTTTTATTAATTGTGTGATATATAATTATTTTTTAAAATTATAAAGCTTATTTGACGTAAATTTATTTATTTTACCATTTTATTTGTATAAAACTAATTCAATATCAACTTAAACCAAGCATAACCCCGCGTAAATAATTATATTATTTTAAAAATAAAAACAATCTAAGAATAATAATCTAATAGTAATTTTATTAAGTTTAAATGAATATAATTTCTATCATGAAAATATAAATAAAATAATATATTATTTCATTAATATTATGTTAAGTGAAATTATTTTGTAGTATCTACACCCCGAAAATAGTTATATTATTTTTTATTTTATTTTTGTAATTAATTGAGTGCTTTAGCCAAATATTTGAAAATGAGATAAATAAGAAGATATTAAAAA